CCCCGTTAAACGAATTGCGTTCCAATCTTTCCAGGCTGCACAGCACGTTAAGGTATTCGATGGCATGTGGTTTGATTCCCCTGGGCATGCAGGTGCCAAATATCACCTCTAGATGTACCACCCCTGCAGCTGCACGCCCCGCCCCTTACCCCGAGTGCGTAATCGTTTCCAGCAGCAAAAAAATGCAGTCTTGGATTAGTCGGCCTAAGAAATCCTAAAGATTAGAAACGACACGGTTCTTCGTGCTCAGCAAGAAGTAAATCAATGAAAAACTAAAAACCTGCTCGAAAATCATTTCGGGACGTACGACACACTTCGTAAGTTGGATGTCCAAGTATTGGTTTCGGATTGTGTTCCGCAGTGTTCTAAGCTCTCCCAAGTGCCTTAAAAACCAATATAAAAAGTGAAAGTTGAAACTGGAAATAAAGCAACATACGTTAGCTTCATATATTGAGAGGGCACACGAACTGAAGCAACATCCTTGGTGAATAACGTTTTCAGGCGTTACTAGGAGAGGCGCCGAGTGTATGGACGCGTTCGGTGTCTGTGGAATCAGAAACTCGTCCAGATCTTGAAATGCGACGAAACGCGACACGCCCATATTGCGATACAGACAATCTGAGAACTGTCTCTATAATGCTTGAATTTGCTTTGAAATCCTGAAATGGAGAGAGACGAATAGTTTTTTTCAGGACTAACAAAATTCTTTGGCCCTTGCCAGCTTGTTACCCAACGTGCTGACTCGATCTTCAAGACTGGTCTTTGATTTTACAAGCTTAAACAACTGTCATCTGGATATAGAAATATTTACCTGTGATAGTGACTAGTTGTCCACGATACCATATATGCTTAGGGTTGACAGGTATTTCGAGACGAGACACTTCCAGAAGCCTAAACAGAGGTGGTTAGTGGATGACTAGCACTTGGGCGAGTTCATACTTCGATCGTGCGATCCTGATTGAAATAGGCCGCGTTCACGCAGTGCTGCTGCTATGGCGGTGCACCGTTCGGCAGTGGAGCGCCCACGGTCAGGATCGCTCGACTGTATCGCGCGGTAGCGAGTATGAACGCGCTCATACTCCCTATTTTTTGAGTTCAAGCCGCACCTTTGTATAAACGGCACACGTATGTTCAGTATCTCTAGCTAGACCACGTCGTAGGTTAGAGAATCCCCAGCGGGGAGGGGTCGTGTTTCCCTTTGAGAGAAATTTGCTTGTGCGTTGTTGACTTTCGCGGTGTTTATCCGTTTCACATGTACTACATGCCCCCCCCTACGACAGCAAAACTGGGAAAAACCAGAAGATTTTCGTGACGGAAAGCTGACAAGGATGTGGTTGGAAAAGATGTGGTAGGAAGCTGAGGAAATCCAGGGAAATGGTATGTATGATAGGGGTGGGGGTCGACCAGAGGAGGGAACTAGGGGGCTAGGGGGTGAGTCATGCTTTCCGAAATGCTCCCTCAGCGGCAGGACATGCTCTTTCCCCAGCAAGGAGGTCGTATTTGCCTTTTTGAGAAGAAATGCTTTCGGTTGATACTATTTTTGGTTCTTCCTTTTTCAAGGGCAACTATACCCATCCTCCCGACCCCCCTCCCCCTCTCCTGCACTTAACGACAGTTTTTTTCTAGGGAGGGGAAGTGGAGAAATTTAGACAGAACTTCGGAAGAAGTCGGAAAAATCTGGGAAGATGGTGTGCAGTATGAGGAATTGGGAGGAGGGGATTGTACCAAAGGAGAAAATTTCGAGGAGGGGGGCATTTTCCAAAAACTTTCTCCAGCGGCAGGACGTGCCTTGCTTGGAACGTTGCCAATAGTTTGCGAATTCTTGAAGAAGTTTCAAAAAGCCTTACCCAAGCCGTTCGTAGAAATCCACAACGTTCAGTAACGAATCCGGTATATCCTTTTTATTGAGATAGACCACGAAATGATCAACTCCAAGAATTTGATTAAGCTCCATAAACTAGAAGAATGGCTGCCATTCAACTGATACAGGGCTATAAGAACGCAATTTCTAGGCACTGTTCGGCTTAGGGGGGGGGGAAGGAAAGGGGAGGGACACTTTGCACTCTTGCTAGGTTGTTTTACTAGCTTCTTTTGAATTACACGCCTGATCGTTGTATGTCCTGTAGAGACCTGTCAAGATTGAACACAGCTCGTGCTACTGCGTAGATTCACAAGAGTTTACAAGTTTCTGCACGAGGCATCGGCAATGCTCGATTAGGACCAGCAAGAATGCCCCCTCCAAGCCGAACTGCGTCCTTTCCACTACTGGTCGCCTACCTCAACCACCGCTTTCCCGGAATATCGTTTTCCAAACAGAAACGGTAGGCAGATTGTAAGCTCGTACTTGTAATCTTTAATGGCAGTTTCTGGTGGTATGTAGTATAAAACTGGTACCGGTCTCCATGGTGCCGCGTTGCCCATTACCTGAAACAGTGGATAAGATCCCCACGGTCGACTGATCCTATAAATAAAAAGATTCACGTCTTAAACCTTCACTTCGATTCGGTCGCTGACGCGTTCGTTTGGTGGTATTGGACAGTTCAGAAAGTATACACCATACTTCATCGCATGATTTTCCGACATTTCATACAATTTGCCACCATCCACTATCGTGCCACTCGCAAAGCGACACTTGAACGTGCGATGGGGACGTGCGACGAGCAGTACGCGCACGTACTGCTGCCCCATGTTCCCCACACGTGCGTCATAAGTTGCTCCCAATGCGAAAACAGAGGAGTTGAGCTTGACAAACGATTCCGGTGAAGCGTGAGCACGATAGTTCGAAGGAAACATAGGGAAAATATCAGCGGAGCTCCTGAAAATATTCCCATTATCCGCTGTGGGTAAGTGCCATAATTCTAAATGAAAACAAGATTACAGCGAGCCCTAGAAGGCTCATCTTCAAACTCTATCATGAATAACAGCACCATGGGGAGATCTCATCAAGGGGTTGCATCAGTGACTAGGGAGGGTCGTATCTGGCTTGATAGAAACCCGTCGTTTCATAGATGCATATACGACCCACCTCGCTGGGAACTTGAACGCGCCCTAGTGTGAGGAGCCCTGGGGATGGAAAGCCGCCCGTAGAAGGCACGTTTATAGTCCGGTTCACTGCGGATTTTTGCAGGGGGGAGGGAGGGGCGGCTAGATTTGTGGCATCGACAGCCCCTTTACTGTGATTGTTGTCGCTTGTTCGTTACAACAATTAGTGAGAACGAACTGGCGCTGCACTAAACCCAACCCTACGAATCCACTACGAACTACTGTAGATAGAGGTGCAACATTTTGAGTGCACCTTTCCTGGCTAGTTTTTCTGTGTCTCATCCTTTATCTGTGGTCACTCGCCCACGTAGCACTGTCTCGTTTCTTCGACTACTCGTCCACTTCTGGGGCCACTATTTTGGTGTCTTTGACTGTTTTTCCACCACGTTCTTTACTGGTGAGTCATTTTGAATCTCTGATTCCGAACTCAGGTCCCGATGCCCATTAATTCTAGAGGCGATGTGTCGAGTAACTGACCAGAAGGCTAGTGCGCCTTCTTAGTAAATAAGCGCCTCACCATTACCTAGCTTCCGGAACATCCAATAGAACTGTACTGAGAGAGTTGAGTTCATTGCTTTCTTGTTTTTTGAGTGGCACAAAAGGGTTTCCTGTTCCCTTATGACTGATAGTGATTTGTTTATGACATCGCGATCACGAAAAAGGAGCCACGTTGCAGTGATACTTCCCGAGAAGTGACCACCGATTCTATGGGTTTTTTTGGCAACTTTGTTTGCCCCGAAATACTTGAATCACCTCTCAAATCAGGTGATTCCACTACATACCACTCTAGCTTATCATCATCACCTTTCAAAGGTGAAAGTATGAAATGCAGTTGTGGGTCGTTCCCCTCCTGGAAGTCGACAGGAACCAGTTTTCATTTGCTGCCCTAGAAGCTTACAAAAGGTTACTCGTTTTATACATGCAAAGACGAGGTTGTCATCAAAGTCAGCGATTGCTTTCCTATGGCCTATTGAACAAGTACTTTCCACGACGAAGGCTTGACTGACCTGTGACATTCGGCCCGAGACCCCGAGGTCTACTGGAAATTTTTCGGCCGAAGTGAGGATGGAGTCTAGAGGAAGAAAGGATTGAATGGTGACAGTCACTTAGGAATGGGCTGCACTCTTGCTAGCAAGCTTCCAGGTGACGTCTAGGTTAGCGATTTCACTTTCTGCACGCAGAGCGCATCCTTTCGGTGGGGAAAAGTCTCTCTAGCCTCCTGAA